AGACGAACGAGATTTTTGTTGTGGCTGCGCGAGAATTGAAACGAGAGCTCTTTTACGCGCGCCATTTTTCACGCTGTCTTTGACTCTCGTTCCTCGTTCTTTGCTTCAAGACCGCACGGAAGCGCTTGCTTCGCAGGCTACCAAACGTGGATCATTTACGATCTATAGGAAGACCCACTATCATGCGCTTTCGGCGAATTTAGAAAATAACGCCACGTCTGATGTGCTGCGAGTTTTCTGACCTTTGATTTCTGCAGGGGCGGGTAATTAAGCTGAAGGACCCAACTTATTATCGGCCAAACGAAGACTAGTCTTGCAAAAAATAAGCAGGTGGCGTCGGTAGTGTAAAGGCGATTGTTTACGTGGTCACCAACGCCCGTACTTCTTTGCGGTCCAGATAGGCGACAAAGTCGAATAGCTCTCCTGCCTATGAACAATTTTTCTCGTTATCACTGGCTGTATTTACTCTTTGTAGATTCGGAGGAAAAAAGCGCTTCGGATTGAGGCTCTAAAAAATCGATCTTCTTCCGGCTTGGATCATTTGGATCAATAATCCGCGCGTCGTTTATGTGAGTTTGATAAAGAAACGAAATGTCCAATTTTGGATTACAAAAAACTTTTGTAAAAAAGCGTTTACCCATGATCAGTAAATAAACTTATCCAAGTAGGGTTAAGCTAACTCGCTCGGAAACAGCTGTTATTAGCTCCAAGGGTAGGGTACAGATATAGATGTGTACATGTTATTTAAGAAGGGATTCGACAATAATAGTTCTGCAATGAAGTTGAGAATATTCCTTGATTATTCCAATCTCTGATGATCATTTAAACCGACTGCAGTGAACTTAGGAAAGAAAATTCGCCGTAATGGCCTTTTATGATTGAAACGTTAGTTAAATCATCATACACAACAGATTATTTAACGACTACCAGCGCATATCTTTCCATTTCCTGCGAATCCAGGCTTGTAGATGCAAATATTGGACTCAGCGATGTTTTCACAAACCGCGTTAGCATCACATAGCTGCGGACTGGCTACACAGTCATCAGCATTTTGATCTGAAAGAAACAAAAAGGTAGACAAATGAATAAATATATAAGTTTATAATGAAATAAATACATTATTCCTTTTGTATATCGAGGCATGTCGCAGAGAGGAATGAATATTTACGATGTAATAGCATGTAATATAGACTTGTAGCGGCGTCGAGAAGCAGGGTCAAAACCTCATGGACAACACACACATGAAAATATTGTGGGGATATGGTTTTGTTGATTTCCCATGTCCACGAACAGGACAAATTATGGTCGTTTTCTCTATACTAATTGCAAGTTTTGATATAGAGGTACGTGTTGCGAAACAATTTATGCGCATAGGTTCATGGTCCCCATAAAATACCTCTATTTTGCCCAAGTTTAACCTTATTGGGTATGTTGTAAGAATAATTAAGTTTTGTCCTGATATTTATGTTGAACCAATTAAAAGTAACAGCACACATAGACACTTGTTCCTTTGCAACAAAAAACTTAGGCATGTCCCTGCAACTTACCCCTGGGACATACTCTGCAACATACCCCCGGAGATATTTCCTTAAAATCCTATCCCCGCAACATGTCCCTCAGAGTCTCAGCAACAAACCCCTGAGTCTTGTCCCAGTAGCATATCCATGGGACATATCCCTGCAACATATTCCTAATACCTATTTAATATTTATAAAATAACTTATCCCTGGGACATTTCCCAGCCACACATCCCTAGGACATATCCCCGCAACATATCCTTGGTACATTTTCTTGCAACGCATCCTTGAGACATTTCCCCGCAACCTGCATCCTGGGAGATGCAACTGCCACAAATCCTTTGGTCATATCTCTGTAATATATCTCACGGACATTTCCTTCCAACATACTATCACATACGTTCCTATTTAACTGCGTATTTTCGCTTTACATACCTATTTTTAGAGAAATGGTGGTAAAATATGGGTTCAGCCATAATGGCGCCAGATTGCGTCGCTTGATATTTAGTGCTAAAATTACCTGAAAGAGCGTGACCTTAGTCCGTTCAAATTCAATAGAGCGAAGCTCAGAATTTTAAATTCTGACGAAGAGTTTTCGCAGAATGATATCGCTTTTTATTGCTCTACTCTAACCCGAACATACTTTTATTTGGTTATTTGACTCGGGAACAACTGTGGCGAATACCTCCCTTCCATACTATGATCGTGAAAGATCAAAACAGGGGTAAATTTTTCTGTTGCCTTGTTTGCCTTTCTGTAAAAGCACAGTTAATTTAATTTCAGTGTTCTCATGCGGTAGTCAGTGTTCGGAAAGAGCACTAGTTCCTTTTCTCAACACTAACCAACAAAACGATACATTTTTTTTTCTGTTTAAAACTTGTTTGAGAATGTTACATTGTTAATTGAGCCTAGTTAAGATCCTTCAACCGTTAAATGTCGCTGCATGATTATAATTTTTGTGGGCAAAGAGATCAAAACCTGTTTTCGCTCTGCTAGGAGCAGATTAGAGAAGGATCAAACTGTTCTGAAGACTGATTCACTTGATATTGTAGCTTAAGTTTTAATTTTATGGCAGACTAATTCTACTTAAATCAAACCTACACCATAATCGATGGAGAGATGTGCTTATGCCCGCATATGAGAGGAGCGTGTAAGCGTTCTTTATATAGTCAAGACGTACCAAATCGTCCGTTTTAATTGTCGTTTGTAGTGGCTTTAAAATCAAAATTCATAACCCCCAGCTCCCGAACTTCATTTTGTGAATAATCGGAAAACAAATATAACTATGTGAAAGAACGACTTAAGAGGTCTCGTTTGAATAAAAACGCAAACGTAGGATTGCGTTCAGAGACTCGAAAAAAATGGAATTAAATTTTGTTTGTTTGTTAAAAGTTAATGGTAAACACAAAATGTGATGGTTTTAAGTCATGCAATTTACATGTATAGTTCACAGTTTTAATGATGGCTAGATTTTTTTTATTCGTTTATGAAAACTGTTTCTAAGTCCATTTAAAAAAAAAAAAATGAAATCATAGGCTTGTATCTTTGCCGCTTACCTTGTACTTTTGTTTCCTGCTTCGGAGGGACTGAACTCTCTCCATCCGCCATCTTCATTGTAACCAAAATCAAAGCTACAACAGTGACCAAGAACGTTACAGTGATAGCAGTCAACATGAAGAGTTTCATTCGGCGAAGGTTGATCATGATCTCTTGTCTCAGGACGTTCTCAGTATCAGTGGTTGTGTTCTGTCTCGGCTTCATCCCTTCTTTGTACCCGTACGCATTCCTAGCTGTTTGAACCTTGACATTTGTTACTGCTTCTCCGAGTATGTTCTCATATGTTTCTTCAACGTTGCCTTTGTTTTTAGTGGACTGCAGCTCTGAATAATACTCTTCATTTGCCCCTGGCGCCATATGCATCTTACAAAGATGTAGTGAACTTGTTTGAAGGTCGAGTAACAACTGGTTAGAAAGAACGCTCTCTCCTGGCATAAGGCGGAGTTTGCAAGCCAAAATTTACTTTAAATTTGTCATTAACCCAATGAACCTTAAACAACCTATGACCGCTTGAGTGTCGGGTCCCCCACCTCCATGTAAACATTCCCTAACTCAAAAGTAGTAAAGATGACAAATTAGAACGTGATTTATTTAAAGCTAACAAAGATACAGCTCCGCGAAGTTGCCGAATTTTACAGACGTTTGTTTTGTAGGGAACAAGTTCGTGCCCCCAGCTTACAACATATAAATTTCCTTAAATTTTCGGGACTTTCTGCAGGATAATCTCGCTTTTGACGAATAACCTGTAAACTTGGCAAGTTTGCTAATTTTAAGGCGCTCTTTCCAGCAGTGTTAATTGATATTCGCTAACTGTTCTTTAACAAACCTTGGCAAATAAAATGTGGAAGGGTGTATAGTCTCTACCCCTCCCTTCTTACCTCCCCTTCTTTCAACGCCTATACCATTTCCCACACAGGGGCGTTTGGTTCAAGTACATCCAGTCATTACAAGACATCTTAGGTGATAAATATTCAACCAATTGCATACCGGTAGAAAGAAGAGAAGTGCGACTAAGGTTACCATGGTAACAAAATTTGTTGATCTTAAGAATCTCTCTTAATAGATACGGCCATTTGCATTGTTGAAACATAGAAAAAAAGTATGGGCTACCGTTTTGGTCATGAGTATAATCATGCACAGGAAAATCATAAATGTTCAATTTTTTCGTCTTTTTTTGCCATACTTGAAGGACCATGGTTTGTTGAGATCCAGACATTTTGCTACCATGGCAACGTGACGTAACGACTTCTGAACACAAAATGATCGTGTTTACATACTCTCATGCTTACCCCTCAGCCAATCAGCGCGCGCGTAGTATCGGCTTAGTTGTTTTATAACGTTCGATGCAATGTCCCCGTTGAATTGCGCCTTTTGTACTAGGTAATAGTTTTTAAGTCCAGCGCCACGTCGCGTTTTAAACAGCTTTATCACAAACGGGTGATCTAGTCGTTCAAACACATTGTTTTGGTATCAGTTCCACTTCCTTATCCCTTTTGGTCCCAAGGGTGATCAACATCAATTTTCTCCTAACAAAATCAGCAGATCATCAAGAGTGAAGCTTATGAGATTTACTAAATTGATTACCAAAGGAAGAACACTTTGATCTTAAACCAAATTCTCTCAACTATTCTTAAAAGAAATGTATGGAGATCAGTCTGGAGAATTTGTATGTAGATCTTGGGGCTTAAAGGGGTATTTAGCGGAAACGGACATGTGCCACTAAACAGGGTATTGTTTGGGGGGTCTTGACTTGAGTTTTGAATAGGGTGTGCAAATTCATTTTGTAGAGTCTTTTGTAGGGATGTCGTTTGAAAGTCATCATTCGGTGAGAACACATTCATTAAATTTAGCAACCTGTAGCTACACTCATACCGGTATACTACGATTGTTTAGGGACTAAAATTAAGACACACTGTACTTGTTGAATTAAATTAGTGTTATGGTCACCTGACCATGTCCAGCTGCATTGTAGCAACATTCATTTTGCTGATTCTTTCCAGCGTTGTAGGATCCTCCCCCTCCTCCACAGGCTTCCTGTAAACCTTTCCCGCTACCACCCCCAGAGTAGCCTCCACCACCACCACCACCTCCTCCGTTTCCATAAGGACCACCACCTCCTCCAAATCCCCCAGCAACATTTTTTAACCAAGATCTTCCACCAATTCCTCCCTGAATAAACCCTCTACCTCCTTCTCCACCAGTCCCCTTCGAACCTCCAAACTGCGTTGAACTTCGTCCACTGGAGTAGAACCCACCACCGCCACCGCCTAAAGTCAAGAAATAAAGACGCTTTACAAATTCCCCTTTCTTTCCGATTCTCAGTATTTTAAAAGACGGAGAGCACTATCCACCGTACTGTAAGTTTCCTTTACCAGAAACAGGATAAAATGAGGTCCGCGACACTTGTATTACTTTACCAGGTCAAAGTAAATATTGCCAGACAAAACGGCTATACCAAATAAAACATCATTCTGCTCAAGAACGAGAAGTCCGAAGACTACAGCAAAGCTGATTTAAAACAACGTGTATTGTTTTTTTATAACAATATTTCGGCTGGTCATTCTGCTGCATTTTTTAGCAAATAAATCAGGAATTAGGGAAAAAAGAAAAAACCTTTTGCACCCAGGGTACTATCGGTGAGAATTCAACATCATGGACATCCGGCGCAAACAACACTGCAGAACTGAGCCCAAGACAAACTATAGCAGGAAATCATCACTTTCATTCAAAGTACGTCCTTTGGTAGGAAAAATTCAAACAAAGCTTCTTCCTCGAGCAACGTTGATCCAGTTGTCGGATGTTCGCTTAAATTATTTCGCAGTTTAGCCAGAGATTGCTTAGCCACACTTCCAAAGCAAGGGAAACATGAAAGTCGAGATCTCTGAATTATAACCCGGGATTGTATTGTTTGTTATGAACATCTGATCGCAACCGGTTTTTTTTATCTCTTGCGGTGAAGTTCTTCGATGCAGCCAATAAAGGTCACTGTTACAGTATTAATGTCTCCTGCGGACGTGGGAGTAAACAATCGGCGACCCAGTTCAGATTTTGAACTGATTTCTTGCATGGAAATGAGGTTGCTTGCTTGTGTAACCAGAGGTCCGGCTCGGGAGCCTTATCAAACCGTAAGCACGGTTTATTTAATATTACGTATTTTGAGAACGGACCCCTGGAGCCAGGGTAGTTTAGTGGATTATCTTACTGAATCCAAACTGATGGTCATAAGATTGGTGCTTTTAAAAGAAGGATCCACTCTTATACAGTTAAATTTTCTCACCTAAATTTGTACTCTGGCCGGTCTTTGCTCCGGAACCACCACTGCCTCCCTCCAATGACAGGTGCCCAGTTCTACCTATTATCGACGACGTCGTTGCATCACATCCAGTATATCTTGTGTTGGAATAATTCACGCCTCCTCCTCCACCAGCCACTATCAATGGCGCTTTGTTTCCAATCATCACCACAAACGTACCTCCACCGCCTCCAGCAGAAGTAGTTACATTGTTAATTCCACCCTCTTGACCCACGAGTATTTGAATTGTTTCGCCTTGAGATAAGTTAAAAGTGCCCTCCATTCTAGCACCTCTTCCACGAAATATGCCTCCGTTACTTCTCGTGTCGTACCCCCCTGCAGCTCCTATTGCCTCTATTCTGTAGTCGCCTGTGTACGGCACGGTCCAGCGTTGAATACCGCTGAGCAATGTAACTTGACCGTCATGATCCTGACCACTGTAGTAACTACCAAGGGAAGTTGGGGGCAGTCTTCCGCTCGCGCCGAGGTTTGTGAAGACAGCTCTGAATGTAACTGAATAGATTTGAAAATAACCATTAATCACTTATCTGACTTTAAATGATTCATCAATAAACAGGGTCTCTGAAAAACAACATAGCAAATCGACAACAATTTTCTTTGGTCTATACTCTTATCGACTAAACAAATGACGTCAAAGTGTTCAAAACTCAAGTGGAATCAAGAGCCGCGGCCGAGTGGTTTCACTGCAAAGTTTTGACGTCCAGTTTCGTTGAAGTTTCTCGGAAAATCGCGCACGCGAGAAAAGGAAAAACAAATTGCGCCACAATAACGTTTGGTCGTTTACGTCTTATGGTCTGTACTCTTATCGAATACTGTACAGCTCCCGACCAATCAGCACGCTAGAATCCGCTCATTAAAAAAACAAAAACGTTTATACCTACTTCAATAAAGGTCACATACATATTTTATTATTTTTCCCGAAGGGGTTTTTCAGAGACTGAATATAATAAGCTATTAAGCACAGAAAGAATTTTAAAATTAACTGGCTATTTCTAACTATTGCGATACGAGTATTAGCAATAAAAAGAGAGAAAACCTACCACGGAATAAATGTAATATATAAATTTAGCCAGGGCTAAAATTAGCTCCAGTTATAAATTTGTAATTTAAATCAAACTATAAACTTGTAATCCACAAATCAGTTAACTGGGGAAATCCATATGACTTTTAAGGGTGGGGCTGTGTGATTTTAGAGAAAACATCATTTGCAAAGTGCAAGAAAGAAACAACATCTAAAATATAACACCCAATAAATGACAATCACCTTTGACTACAGTAGATGAGGCGTGGAAAACAAATTCTTCCCATCAGTTCCAAATGTCCTATTTGTCCACCTACCCCATGCACCCTTTTTTTTTCATGATACGGAGGGTCGTACAAGGGAGGGGGGGGGGGGATTCCTCTTTTACGGTTCACGGACCAAGTAACTAATCACGGATGTCAAACTTTCATTTCAGTTTCGAGTCACATAATCAGCATTTTAAGTATTTTTTTTTTTAATCTTGTGGTAAGAGTGTCTGAAAAACAGCTCGAAAAAGGAATATTAGGATAACATTATTAACATATATTACTTTTAGTGGAAATCTACAATATTTACAAATGTTCAAAGCCGAGGAAGTTAGATATCTTATTGTTCCTGCAATAACTTAGATGTAAGTGACTGTTTAAAAAGTGTTACATTCCTACAAAGATTAAGAGACCGGTCAAGGTAATGGCCATACACTTACAGTTCTGTAATTAAAAGATCTTTGTCCACTTGCTTTTTTAAAAAGAGGTATGTTCAGTTTTAGTGAATAGCGAGTTCTACGATTACTGGGAACTAAAAATTTGTTCTGTAAAATTGTGAAAAACCGCATTCTGTCCTAGGTATGCAAGCTTACCGTAAAAAAACACCGCCTCATAGTATACTGTTTACCTCAGATATGATGTGTAAAAAAGTATAGATGCATAACTAGCTTACACATCACCAGATTTGTTGGCAAGATTTTGAAATAAAGTAAACTTGTCGAAAAAAAAATTGGGCTTGATTTTCTTATTTTGGCCTCCCTTTTAGACAAAGGAATGAAATCTTTTCAAGGCTGTGCTCTAAGGAAAATTGAAGGGAGCCCAGTGCTCTGAAACTGTAAAATCTAGGGTGCCCAGCATTTGATTTGTATGAAAAATCTGAGATTTTCTAGTCGCCCGAGAGCAAAAGTTAGGCACCAGGGTCCACCGGGCTTTGCTACAGCACCGCCCTGCTTTTAACTTTAATACAATGTGTAAATTGCCATTATGGCTCTCGACTCATCGAAGATGATTGCTATCGTTTGTATGTAAATATAAGCTATTAACTCGATGTCAGATTTGTTTCACTCTTGGACTGTTTGCAAATTATTTTACTTTAAAATCATTAAGCCTTTCCCTCAAAAGTCACATGAATGTGTTTGATTTAAATTATAAATGTATTAAATGGGAGCCTCGCTTTAAGCCCTAGCTAAATCCACATATTATCACAGTGTCAACGCCTCTTTTCAACAAAAACAACGAATGCATCTGTTAAGGCTAACATAGAATCTTATTGTTCATCTGATTTTTTTATTGTTTTGACGTAATTTGAGGAGATGACGATGAACTGTTTGAACTCCGCGAGGGTTGGTAAAGTAAAAATTTCAAAAGGCAGTGAAATCTTTTTTAACAATTTTCTAAAAAATTGCTTTTCATTGACAAAATAATGCATCAGAAAACACAGTTTCATAAGTTTAGAGATAACTTGAGTGCAGTCGTCCGGTTTGATCATCTTTAGTTTCGCTGATTCCTGATCATTTTTGGCTTTTCCGAATTTCTCTTATTTTTTTGAACCGGCTTTCAAAATTTTAATGAAATTCAGATATATCCTGAATTTTTCTGAAATAGCGTGACGTTAGCCCGCTTAAATCCGGTAGAGCGAAGCACAGAAATAAATAAGACGAAGCAGTTTATTTCTTGTTCCTCTACTCATGGTCAAACACTGAATTACCCGACGTATTTCGCATGTTAAACACTCGAAAAACACAAACTGTGACGAATACATCCCACATAGGGATTTTTTGATCATCCCGTCAATCCAACTGCGATGTACCAACCCCCCCCCCCCCCCCCCCCCCCCCCCCCCC